ATATAAAAATCATGAATGCTCATTCCTAAGGCAGCTAAGAGTTTATTTAGGTTTGTTCACATGCCACAAGGAGAGGTAACCAGGAAACAGAGCCACCTTGAAGTCTTACATTTGCTCTAAACTGCCTATATCTCTGTTTGCCCAACCGAATAATGGAAATAATATCATGGTCCTTCTTTCTTGAATAAGAGTTGTGAGACAGATACAAATGGTGATTTAAAAAGCTGAAAATAAACCGGTATTCCTGTTTCATTCAATGCCACACAAATGTCTTATTTTCTAATAACACAGATGACTGAAATTAATTTATATTAAAATAATGGGTTTTCAAAAGAAATAACCATATGAAAAACACTGACTTGTAAATCTTTGTGTTCAGTTTTAAATTCTCTAGAAAATCAAGACTTCTTTTGTGAAGCATAATGAAAAAGATGCTGAAAATCCATGCACTTTTACGTGAAGCCAAGATACCCTTCCCAACAAGTCAACAGAAGGCAAGGATGAAAGCTTAGCAAAGATCTGCCCTACCTGCCTCTCAATGTCTTTGACTGGTGGCTGGGTGGGGGTGGGAGCCGGGGTGGGGAGGAAGCAGAGAGATGCTGTCAAATTGGAAAGGAAAATAAAAAATTAGACCAAATATATATATTACTATGTGAGGTAGAGTGAGATTTCTTGTACTGTTTATTGGCTTTCTGATTGGACGTGACTTTTCAAGCTGACACTTGATAGTGTAATTTTTGTGTAACTGGGAAGTTCTCTCAGCAGTTACTTCCTAATGAAAACAAAGGGATATGGCCACAAATAAACCTCATAAAAAGCAAAGAAAGCATTAGATAACCCAAAACCTTATCACTGATAATGTATTTCTGATCCCCAAAGCACATCATGGTTCCTTCGCCTATGAAAAACAGCAATAAGACTTCTAAAACTAATGAGTTTCCAAAAGTATAATTAGAAGACAAATACTGAATCCTTGTTCAAAAGTTTCATTTCCAATACACATAAAATTGCTACTGAAGAGGTGAAAATGTGCCATGGCCATCACTTCAGAGCAACAAGCACATCATCATGCAGTTGTCTTTACTATAAAGGTTTTAGCCATTTCCAATGTTTTATAAATGTTCAAACTGTGCATCTATCTTCAATCTAATTCTCCCTATTCTAGTCTGTCAAAGATAGCCCTTTTTATCCTTTATCATTTCCATTTTACACTGTCCTTTGCCAATCCTACTGTATACTTTTCAGAACTTTCTTCTGAACCTATCTGTTTAAACCTAAACTAGATCCACTTAAAGTAAGTACTGAACGCAGATCCATTCAATCTTTTCTGTCATCTTTATTTACACAAATTTTAAGCAATAAATAAAAGTACTTAAAAAAAATAAAAATCCATACTCTGCATAAAGTCCAGTGCTCAGGCTGAAAAATATCCACTTAAAAAACTCAGCAGTTAACCTATTGTGCAACTTCCTAAATAATTACCAGTATAAATAATTTCTGAAGAGTCTCATGAAACAATTCATTGAACAAATGCCTAATTTTAATGAATTACTACAACTGAGGGAAATTCGTTTGTCTGTCTAACTCTCAGTAAATGGACACTGGACATTTCAGAGACTGTAGTGCTATGTAAAAGGGTAGTAAACCCACATATGCTTTTAAAGGACAACTCATATTCTGGTTCATTTTGAGAGTAAGAGAGTTCTTCAGAGAGGTTTCATTCAATTGTCACTGGTTCTCTCATTGTATTTTAAAATTTATTCCTTTAATCTTCCTCACTCCCTCATTCCATCAATCAAGTGATCAATCACCAAACCTTTTAAAATGCATCAGGCCCCAGAGATGGACAGATAAAAAGCAAAGTTAGTGCCCCTCTGGGGAGGTGCTTGACAGTCTGCAGAAAAGGCAAATCCAGCAAGGTGGGCCTGCCAAAGATGGGGGGAATGGGAGTGGGGAAAAGAGCCAGGGAAGATTCTCGCAGATGATGTCCAAGCTGTGTTGAAAAGGAAGAGAATGAGTGCTCCTGTTGAAGCACTGAAAGGGGCATTTCAGAAAGAGGAAAGAACACCCATAAGAAATGTGAATTAGCAGAATTTGGATCAGTAAATGGAGTGTTAAATCCAGGGTACATTAGGAAAGACATTTTGCGTCACAATTTCTGGTGAACATTTGCTTAACTGTTACCAATAATACCAAGAAATACTTTATGAAACAATTAAGGGAAAATATCTTTTCAATCTAAGGTTCTTTTTAAATACTGTAACTCTCAATGATAAACACATGATATCTTTATGAAAAAGAAATACGGGGTACCATAAAAGACTGCGATAAGCAGAAATATTCCCATAAGTCTCCCAATACACATCTCCTGATATCATTCAGTATAAAGTATTCAGAACTAAATCTTCATACAGGCTTGCTTTTTTTTTTTTTTTTAAACCCAGGAAAATGTTCTTAATTGTACCTATGCTTTACAATATAGGAAAGGAAGAAACTCAAACTTAGAGACTAAACAGAATGTCTCTATCTAAAAATCAATCCATTGGAACCCTGGAAGCCCATTACTCTAGGCTGTGTGACAGACAGAGGCATACTTCTCAGGAAATGTTCCCTTCACAGCTTCTTTGGCTAGTAACCTGGAAAATTTAGTAGTAGTCAAGTAAATTGAGTTAATTCTCCAGTACATATTTGTCAAGTTCGTGCGTTTACAACTTTTATTTTTTAGTCTCAATGTGTTAGTTACTGTTTAGGGCTATTAAAAAAAACTTTGCACTTTATTCTTCATTGGTTTCTATGTTTTGGCACACTAATAAATTAAATGGCAACTAGGATTTTTAAAAAAAAATTTAAAAGGCTTATTTTGTAAGGGAATATTTAAGATATCATTGTGGCAGCACCAAGTCCATTTTTTTCCCAATTGTTACTTGTGAATAATTATTTTAGAAACAAACTGAGTTCCTACTTAGGGAGAGAAAATATTTATCAGTACATCTGCATTTCAAAGTTCCTGTTCTGAGAACTCATCTACATAACTGAACAGATTAAAGTAGTATTGTGATACAGTCCGCATATTTTTTATGTTCATTTCTTTAATAGGAATTATTTTCCATATTTACCCATATGGTATAGTCTTCTATTTTATCAGAGCATGACAACAGATTTTTTATCAAAATGAGGAATTGCACTGTCTTTTTTGGAAAGTGTATCAGATAACATATTTTGCTTTATAGCTCTTTTCAAAACTGGTAACTATACAGAAGCAAGTAAGAAGTGGAATTTATTTTCCCTTCCCAACTCTGAGACCTTCTATCTGGGCCAGACTTTGATATTTGCCCCTTGGCTGAGAATCCACATATCCAACTTCACACTTAGCTGCAGTGAAGTAGCCCTGCAGGCAGGCCGACTTCAACGAACCACTAGTGGTATCATCATTAAAATCCTGCTGAAGGTCACCATGGTAACCGCCTGCTGAGGTTTCGCTGCCACACTCGCATCTCCTAATCAGCTACCATGTGAAATGCAAATTCAGACAGTCTGAAAATTAGTCAAGAAGAATAGGGGATGAGGATGCAGATATGTGAAATATTCATGTGCTTCATGGAAAAAAGAAGACAGCATGAATGACACAACAAAGAAAGGCCCCTGACATTCTTGCTATCATTTTGCATTATTGTTCACACCCTACTGTATTTCCCAGCCCATAGGTCTGAAGTTGGTTTTGTGAAATGCCATATTGATATTCCATACCCAAAATAGTAATTAAAAATGGCTAACATAATAGCATTAACATCAAATGAAGATAATATTTCTAAATAATCTTCACTGCCTTCTAAGTGTTTATTCTAATTACCTGAATACAACTGCTAGGAAGCAAAAAGGCATCACTGACAATCAGCATCACAACTAACAGAAGCAGTCCTTATGACGTTCAAACAACACCGATGTTTCACATAGGATCGGTCTAGAGATATTTATTACTCAAGTTACATGGCCTCAAATTTCCTTACAAAACAACACTGAGTGCTGTTCATTCTATAATAGAAAGACTGACAGAATTACCTAATAAATAAGCAGTTAATTGCTATCTATTTTTCTTTTATTTCCTTCCATTTTCCTGGAGGAACAACAACAACAAGCTGTTGTTCAGAAGTCCTGATGCAAGACTGTTTTCTCTGGGTCGCTCCCTGATGAATATTCCAGAAAGAGCTTTTTTGACCACATTTCAGTTGACCTGAGACACTGCTATTTTTGTACATCTTGTCCTTAAATGTGGGTAAAATCATGGTGCGTTAGGCTAAAATGGGAGACATTTCGTTCAATGAATAACTAGATATTGAGTAGAGCCGAGGTGATTCATTTCAACAGGCTACCCAAGTAAGCGGGGACTTAGGTTCTGATCTTAAGGCAAAGTCTTGGAAAGTTTTCAGTCCTGTCCGATACAATTTTGAATTTCAAAACATTTCCCCAAAGGACTCTGCAGCAATGAGGTGGCGACAAGACAGGCGTTGTCCGAGGGGGAGGTGGGGGAGAAATAGGTTCAGAATCCGGCTAAGAGGTATGCTTCATTCGAGGTCAACATGAAGAGGAGGGACCTTCTGACACAACAGAGTTATAGTTTCTATTATGTAATTGAAGTTCTGAGAAGGGGAGCTCGAGGGGCAGCCTGCTTGGAGCCAGCAGACATGTCGGTGAACGTGAGTCTGAGTTGTGAGCCTTAAACTCTGTTCTTGCAGCATTCAGCACCCTGGCAAGCGAGCTGCTATTCTCATCACACCGGGGAAGTGGGGAAGTGGGGAAACCTCACACCATGTTGTGCTCTCCACGCTGTGAACTGCAATCTACTGTAAACACCAAGTCTGCAAGAGAATGCAGACAGAAAAGGGCTACTCCTGCTGTATATACTATCCACTGGTATTTGTTCACAAAGCCAAATTTCTTAATAAAATACAAACGCTAACAAGATGAACAAAAGAGAAACAGAGCAACTGAAAATGACTTACTTCTTCTGAATAGTGATCTGAAGGCAGAGGTGGGTAGTCGCATTGCTCTATCTTCTTACACAGTGAGTATAAATTCATTTTGTCACCATAGAAAGGACTCTGTAATGCAGCCATCTGTAAAATGCTCCCAATGAGACTGAGATAGTCACAGGGCAACTTTAAAGCTGATTTCATCAAGTATACTGGGGTAGAAAATAATTATAAATCCTTTAAATTAAAATACCTAGGTATTTGATGAGTATGAATATTCCTTTTTGAGAATTCTACGTTAAGTGCTAAATACCATCTTTGGTAAGTTTTATTCAGTATTTAAAATACCGTAAAACAGAAATGTTCTTTAGATATTCTTGGTGAAACCATGCTAATAAAAATTAGATTGTGACTTAACTCTTTGTAAACATGCTAGTAAACACTGTCATAGAACAACAGGCATATCCAATGATGAAATGAGATATCCACAGATTGGTTAGCAAAGGTCACAATACAGCACATAAGAGACTAAGGTTAATACTAAATTATACTTTAGTAATGCTTTAGGGAATACGATACTTAGCATTTTTACTTTGCATAACAAGTTCTGTAGGGAAGAATTATTCTGAAGTTAAACAAAAAAAAGGCTTTTCAATTTCAATATCATAACCAATCCCTAAATAGTTCACAATGAATTGGACCTTCTTTTCTTTTGATAATGTCTCAAAAGCAGTGAATATGTTCACAACCAGTACGAGTCTTGGGTGTAATTCAAGTCATCCACGTGAGGTATCTATGCAGAAAAACACAACTCAAAGGCTGAACAACTTTAGAAAAGACATTATTGAATTTAAATTTAAGACAAGGTTCTCGCTTGACATTTAAAGTGCAAGCAAGTACTGTGGTAAGCAGGGTTACAAACTAAAAATTTAATTTAAAATGTTGCTATCCTGTTCAAAACCTCCTAAATCTTTGAACCGCAGCAGCCAGAATACAACACGGAGTGCCAGGCTGCCCCAAAGTCAGTCACCCTTTTCTACATGTGCTAATAAGTTTGATTTTGGAAGGACAATGTGTACATTCCCCAGACAGGCAGCGTGTGTGTGAAACACGCTCGTCCATGCTGTGCTACTCAGTGAGTGTCAGTGGGGACAGGACAAGCTGAAAATGGCTCTCATCTGCTCTGCGCTCCACCGAGGGTGTTAACCCCTTCAGAGCCTTGCCAGGAGGGGCTGCGAGTGGAAATGCAGCCTGGGAAAGACCTCACCTCTGTGTTACAGAAAATCCAAACCCTATATGAAAACAGCCTCTTGGATATGGCTGATCCACATGGCCAGAAGAAAAGTAAAAACAATTTGTCTCCACAGAAATAAAGCACTCCACCTGAGAGGAAATTTCTAGAAGAGGAGCCACTGATGATCATGCCTCCTGTTTAAAATGCAAGGACATTTTATTACAATAAATATTTTAAAATGTCATCTGTAAGAATACACTTCATATACATGAAGCATAGTCTGTGTTTGCAGAGCCTCAAGTAAATATATATATACATATATATATACACACACACATACATATATATGTGCAATATCATATGCTGGGAGTTCATTATAGTACTTTTGTCTCAATACTGAGGAGTGTTAAAAAAAAAAATCTGAATGTCCCCTAAGGAGTTAAACAGGAATAGTGTATTTTCATGCATCTCCTGCTTTGACAGATGAAAAATGTCAACTGTCCTGTTTTTATTTTCAAGCTTTTGCACTATTCATCTGGTTCATTAGTGCATCTCGATGCTGCCCCTGACAGCTGCTCGCCCTCTCCTCCCAGCAGCTGAATTTTTCAGGCTAATTTGATCCTCCACACTGAGACGATCCTAGGATGATTGACTTGCTCCCTGACCTCCAGGGTCTGACTTTCCTGATTAGTATTCCGGGGGTGTTGGAGGGACGAAAGCCCACTGTCTGTCTTCAGGGCTGGTGGCAGCTCTCTTTTTTTTTGAACTGTAAGCCACCAACCTACAACCCTGTAAGGATGCGATTGCTGCGCTGAACAATAAAGGAAATGTGTAAAACCTACTTTTCCATGTAAAGGTCCGTGTAGCAAAAGCACAGCATCTTGATTTTAATTAGTAAAGTCTACTTTGTTGCATATCAATTAAAACTGTGCTGATATGAATTTTTTTTCCAGTTACAGGAATATTTGAAAGTCTAATTTTCTGAGTTTAAAAATACATTTTCAGAAAAGCCTTCCTACTCCTTCACTGGTAATAGTAATTTCTTAGTGGGCTGCAATGTAAAACCTCTGCATGCTTCTAGGGCTACGTCTTAAAAGCTAAATCGCTAGGTATTTATGAACACTGTATTGACTCATCAATGGAAGGAGAACACACACAAAGGTAAATTAAATCTTCAGAGAATTTCTAGTTCTTCCAGAAGACTTGCAGGGACAAATGGAAAAAAATACATTGAGCTGAAAATTAACATTGACATGATAAACACTTCAACTGGGAATCATCCACAACACACACAATTCTGGGATTTAGGCGTGTCCAAAAAATGCTTTTTTATTTTGGTGATCATTTTAAGCACATTAAAAGTGAAATACTGACTCTCAAACAAAAATTCAGAAGAGAAAAATTATTTTATCAGTTCTGATATGAGACTCTTCTAATTCTTAAACACTACATGAACTTTCCCTTTAACACTTGTTTTCTCAGCTGAACTTTTTTCATTGTTAAATTTAACCTCATTATTGGAAACCAATTTGCTGTTTACTTTAAGATACTTAAAAGGAAAATGCTGCTTTGATAACATTAGACTAGGGCCTGAAGCAAAATCTAACGGACCTAAAGAGACACAAACATTTTAAATGTGTAAAGTGACTAACTTTTAAACATTAGAGAAACTTAATATTATCAGACCATTTCCTTTTTAACAATGTGCCACATTATTATCAGGATACAATACAGTGAGTATAAATCTTTGAATGCAATGTACATGCATAAAGATAAATTGTATTCATTATCAATTCATAATTTTTACTAAAAATGAGTTTATTTAAGAACATTTAAAATATCTTTCACTTTAGCCATTGCTTATTTAATAAGAAGAATAAAATTTCAGATTGTTTAAAAAAAGATTGTTTAAATATATTAAAAATGAAAGCAAAACCAAAGCCACCTCTTGAAGCTCAATTTCCAATTAGGGGCAGTACAAGGAGAAGAACAAATCATACATTTAAGTCGAGAAGACATGGCATATTTGCAAGAAACAGACTGGTTTTTACCAATCTTCTTTACATTTGCTATACACACTGAGGCATGAAATGACTGTCTTCTCTTCCTTCATTTTACTGAACCCTGTTTATACGTACTGTTTAAATTTTAATTGGAGTAGACTCAAAGCCTACTAGTTTCGATTAAAAAATTAAAGAAGTTAACTGTAGCTTGCGATACTCTTTGGCATCACTGCTGTATGACATGAATGCCAAATGCTCTCGTTACAGCCTTGATTCTGCCTACCAAATTATTGCAGGGCAGTATTTCTGGATATTTATCTACACGATCTCACCTTCTTTGATAACAGCAAGAGAGCTGTACAATGTAAAGCATTACTCCTGGAAACTAATTCAGGTGACAATCTAGGAAAATTAAGATAGTCTGCATCCTTAAAAATGAGCTACAGATACACACGTAATGTCAATATTTACTACACTTTCATATTTCACATTCATTTCATTCTCTCTCCTACAATGTACTATGCATGTTTTTCTTCAATGTTCAGATATATTAAAAATATTTTTTGTAGAAAAGCATTACTTAAAAGTTTACATATAAAAATTCACATTTGAAAGACATAATTCTAAAATACTTTAGAGGAACAAATGTATAGGGAAGTACAGTGACACAGTTACTTAACTATTTATTATGAACATAATTGTCACAACAAATTATTCATAGTTAGCTTTTTCTCAATACAATCAAGAAAAACAGTCAAGTGAATACTATAAAAATAGGGGAGAAATAGTGGGAAAAGATGCATCAATATATGGAATTTATCAGCACCACCTACCTCATATAGTAGACAGCCAAGAGACCAGATGTCAGATTTGAAGTTGTATCCATTTTCATGTATTCTCTCCGGAGACATGTAGTAAGGCGTACCCACTAAAAAAATAATAAAAATAAAACAGAAGTATAAAAATGAAGATGCTTAAGGATTGACACGGAGTATTTTGGATTAAAAATGTCACTGAACTCATTAGGAGCAGCGAATTGTTCTAAGAGTACTCAAAACTTTGCACGTTCCTTTTTGCTCCCCACATCTAAATAGCACAGTAACATCCATATTATACAAAACAGGAAATGTAAGGTCAGACTCTCATTCCCTTCAGACTAATCCAGGGAAAGTCTAGGGGATATATTAATTAAAGGAAAAATAAAACCAATCCTAACAAGAAAAAGCTACCTAAGTCATTTGCATTCATTTGTTTCTTCATTTGAAAAAACATTGCATGTTCCTAATAGCTTAAATTGGAAATTTATGTAACTATTACATTATATTGTATAACAATTCGGTTTACTAATAGATCATTATCCTTCACAGGAACATCTCAGGGAACATAATTCTAATTCTTCAAATTACAAATGACAAAACCATTAACATTTGATACTATAGTTGTCTGCATGTTAAAGAGAATATAACAGATTTTGTACACAAAATATCATCAGAAAGGCAATGACAACTCTGGCAAAACATCTGGGTTATTTCCATTAGAGAGATCCTTCCAGCAGGAAGATATTCTGGACGATTTGTGTTCTGCTGTGCTAATGTTTTTTATGACACTGTTGAAAAACAAATGTATGGATGTTATATTTTGAAGGATCAAAAACATTTAGGTTATTTTCAAACTGTCTTTGAGTACAAACTTATGTGACTTATTTCAGCAGCAGCTGCCTAAGGCTTTCTGTCAAATATAAGATCGCAGTCTAAGAATAATATGTAGGAATTTTATTTACTAGAGGCAGGAATCACTGCAATCACCGTGGGCACAGAGAAACTCAAGGATTTTCCTTTGTTAATTTCCCAGACCTCTCTAGCTATTTACTCTACACCTTTCTAAGACACACAATACCAATCCATGGAGTCACATCAGTCATCAAAGGCCTATCCTCAAAGACAGTTTTCCAAAAGAATGAAGTTATAACCTAAGAGTTGAACTGGGTCTTCCAGAAATTCAACTTCTGTAGGAATCATTTCCACAGAAAGGACAGTCTGAGGCAGAAAGGATGAGAGGAGAGTGCTTAGGGAGATGAAAAAAAAATGAAAAGAAGGTATGCCTATAGGATGATAAAAATTTGAAATATGAACTACTAATATTTGAAATTAACAAGACAAACTGTAGCATCTACTATGAGGATATGTGACTCTGCCACTTTGTGTTGTGTCAAAATAGCCAAGAAAACTTTTTAGAAATAGCTACCTTTAAAGATGTTATATTGTGGCAAATAAATGCCAGGTGTCTAAGCTTTGGGAGTTGTTGCCACATCCACTGGCTGGAGTTTGCATAAGCGGCAGCAATGATTGGAAAAAGCCGTGCTCTCTCCCCATCTACAGAAGGGAGGTGGATACAGCTGCACTAATAAGCGGCCCTGCACAAGCTCTTGGTTTCAGGACATAAAGCGAGTGACTGGCAGTGAGGAATGTGTGCAGGGCCTTGGCAGAATCCACAGGGGGCAACTGAAAACACCAAGGCTCCGAGGTTCAGAGTTTACCAAAAGCAAAGGTAATTTTAACCAGGAGCTCTGGGAAACCTGCTGCTACAACAGGGGTTTGATATGAGTGTGAAAGATTGATGATAGGGAAAAGGAAGAACAAATGCTGGCGTTTTACAGAGATTAGCCCCAGCCTAACACCTTAACCGCAACACAAACTGAGCTCGCCGATGACGACCCACAAGCCAAAGGAACCAAGGAAAGGAATGATGAGGAGTTTTTCTGAGCTAAACTGAAAATGTAAAAATAAAGATTAATGTAAAAAAAAAAAAAAAACCCTTTTTGGAACAACCTGCTGGAGATCACGGCAAAAAGTTACTAACTGAGGGAATTCTGTAGTTCTAAACCTAGATACATTCTCCTGTGGGCTTTCAGTTGCTTTCTCGGTAAACCACATGCACGGATTATCTCAGCATTGACGTGACAGATATCATGAGTATTTAGTAAAATGTATGCTAAATATGTTACCTCTTTGGTGGACACTCCTCCCAGATTCATTATGTAAGAAAAAAAAATGAGTAAGTTTGTGTGAGGCACAGCATTTCTTATTTGGATCAGTTTACAATCAATTACTGAACTCAGGATGCGGGGTGCTCTGTCCCCCTCTGATGTGCTCCCTAGAGGACCCTCTGCTCTGGGCGGGGGCTCTGCTGCTCGTGTACACTGAACAAGCAGGCGCAGCCCCATCACACAGCCCACCTCGTCCTGGCTGTGCTCCATCTAGCCAAATGCTAAGAGTTTAATGCTTCAGGAAAATCTACAATACATTTAATGCAGTGATGGGTTTTCAACATTTCAAGCTTAATGAAGATACAATTATTTCCTAAAACACTTTCTCTAAACCCGTGACAGCTGTGGCTGTGATTACTGTTGCCTCAAGAATGTTGTAACTTCTAACAGTTACACAAGAAGATTTGGGCAGTGATATGATTAGACATTAAAACACTCCCATGAATTACTATGTATGGAAGACCTGTGAGGGACATAGAATGCCCCCATGTTTCAAGAATTTATGAGTGCAAAATGCAAATACATTTTATAATCATAATAGATACTTATGCCATTTTAACTCCTGACATGAATAAAACTAAGAAACTGATGATAACATGAAAAAGACAGATAGCTTGATGGGAAAATCACAAAGAAGTGAAAATGCTTCTGAGCTTTACATCACATGAAAATACACTAAGGCAGGCACTCTCATACTATATTACCATACCATAAATATTGACTTATTTTTACTTTATAAGGAAGTTTCACATGGTTTCTATTCCATAGATAATAAGCATATTCTGAAACTTATAAACGATAAAATGAAGACCAATTATTAGAAGTCCAAAAACACTGCTAGCATTCTGCTACTAGGGAATATGTGACAAAATATTTTCAAAAAGTTGGGCAATAACACCAGCATTATAACCTCTGCAGAGACTTGAATGAGAAAAAAAATAAACCAACCAAGCCACCTTTATAAGATTTTGGTGGCTCCTGTGCTGTTCTTTAAATCAGGGAGACAGCATAAAGTCAGTCACAGGCCAGGAAATTTCATCTTGCCTCTCACCACTAACCAGCTAGAACAACCTGGCCTCACTTTCCCTTCTCTGAGAAGCAGCGAAGAGATGATGCTTTAAGATTCCAAAGCACTCATGAAAACTCTACAGAAACCCAAATGGAACATGAAATGGGAAAAAAAATTATAAGCTCCTTAAACTATTACTTAGGACAGCTGAGAGAGAAATGTTTCAAGTCAGAATACAAACAAGCCAGTTCAGGGTAGAAAGATTGTTTCTCCTAGTATGAGACCAAAGGTAGAAGCGAAAACTTGAACCCTGCTTGTTGACAATTTGTAAAGGAGATAGTCATAGAACATATTGATTTAAACACATACACATGTCAGAGAATAGGAATAAATTTCCATTTCTCTTTGCCTACTCATAAGTCAGCCCAGAAATCAGGTCAGTAGATTGAATCGACCACGTTTATTTCATTTGAAGGAGTGTTACTTAAGGTCAATAGAGAATGGCTAAAGTGGCGGATCAATATTTCTTTTGCAAAAGGCTTCTAAAAGATAAAATTTGTCATCTTTTAAGTCTAATGGACCAACATTTGAGAGACTTATTAATGATAGAAGAAACAGCTCAGTACATGGTGTGGTGCTGCCCCTGTCCAGGCACTGGCTCACGGGGAACACTGTCTTGCAGGAATCTACAGTGGTGTACACTGTTCTAGGCACTAGGGAGACAGAAGTAGACTTCATGTTGCAGAGCTCTGAGTGAAGCCAGGACTGCTGTGATGCAGTACTGTGAGACCTTGGCCTGGCTACCCTCGTTTAGAAGGAACAGGACGTCCGACAGTGTCAATGATTACATGGCAGCTTGGGTGTGCACCTGGAATCCAGACTCAGCATTTAATCAGATGTTATTTCACTGGATTAACTACCATGAAATGGGACTGAAAAATATATGTCTTTGCAAATTAAGGGGCAGAGAAAACAGTAAGTCACAATAGGAACCTGTAGCCAAATGGTGTAGACAGAAAGGGGTTAAGGTTTCAGCATTCCACAAGAATGCCTCTGTTGGACGCCTGGCTCCAGTTCTTGACTGCAGCTTCCTACCACTGCAGACCACGGAGTGGAGGTAGTTCAAGTAACTGGGTCCCTGCCACCCAGGTAGGGAGATGCGCCTTACGTTCTCAGAGCAGAACATCACCTGGCCTCAGCCCAGGCCTGGACGATCAGGAGTTGGGGAGTTGAATCAGCAGATGAGTTCTGTCTCACCATGCCTCTCAAAAAACACACACAGGAATAAAAGGTCCCATTTCAGTGAGCCACAAATGAAAATTATGCTACTTTGCAGTGATTCTGATTGTTTTAAATAAAAACTTGTGATGATGACTGAGAGGTCAAATATGTAATTTAAAATTAGATAAGAGCTTCTTCCCAGAGCAATTTACTTAAGAAAGGACTGAAAGTTAGAAATAGATCAGTGAAAGCAGCCTGCAGTTGCGATGGAACATATGCTGCCTTTACGGCTCCGAGCCACCTTCAACAATGAAGGGGATAAGCCAGAGAAAGATCCAAAGAGGTGCTAAGAAAAGGTGTGGGAAAACAAGTATGTGACCACAGGTGGCTCCTGGCAGCAAAAATGACACGGTTTTAATGCCTGGTTCAAGAACAGTAATTCTCCAAGTTGAAATCAGAGGATATATCACACTTGGAAATAGTGTGGGGAACACGAATTTTGCACTCGAGAGAGCCCAGTGTGAAAATCCTGATATCTGGCTTGACTGATGGCCATGCACTGACTCCACTGGCAGCGTCACAGAAATCAAAGAACCATTCGTCTCACCGGGAAAGGTAAACAGGTAAACAGGAGTTCAGGCAATCCTATAAT